TGTTATATATGATATATTTATATATATATATATATATATATAATATAATTTATTAACTTTTATTTTTATTTTTTTTACCAGCACGGGGACTGCCTGTCAGTTCAGGCATTTCCCCTGCTGAAAGCACTGTGGAGACCTATGACGGCCATATGACCGCTCTTTTAGACCCTGCACGTCCTTGGTCACTAAGGGGTTAAAGTCGCCTTCCCTTTCAAGAGAGATCTGGATTCTCCGACGGTTTACTGCTCTACCGATTAAAAAGCAGGAATCTGATAAGTAGACACAAAAATAGTTTATTTTATATAAGATCCAATAAAAAGTGTAAAAGATAGTAATAGCTCACCGGTCCTACGCGTTTCGTTTCCGAAGAAACCTCCTCAGGGACCACTCTCCATACAATTACAATAATAAAATTCTCTCAAACGAAGTGAATACAAGGGTAAACTGTTTAGGAGATAGACCCTTTTGTGTGAAGAGTAACCCAAAAACAAATAAAACGTCACTTTTAATATGATTATTTAAAATATTATAGAAACACTTGTCATATAGAATATTAATATCTGTAATAGGATAAAAATCCTACAAACAAAATTATAAGTAAATAAATCCACAAAGAAAAAAAATATATAACTGTAGTCAAAAATAATAAAACTAATAATCAAAGTTTTGTTAAAGGATTATAGGTGCCAGGAAAACATACTGCTTTCCCTGGCACTATAGTGCCCCCGAGGGTGCCCCCACCCCTCAGGGAGAACCCTCCCGCCTCGGGCTCTGGAAAGGGAAAGGGGTTAAACTTACCTTTTTCCAGCGCTTCGGGCGGGAGCTCTCCCTCCTCCTGACATCCTCCTTCACTCCTTTCCGTCGACCGCCGAATGCTACATTGACGCTGCGCAAGAGCTAAGCGCTACAGATTCAGTCAGTCACATAGGAAAGCATTCATAATGCTTTCCTATAGACGCTGAGTGTGCTCTCACCGTGAAAATCACAGTGAGAAGCACGCAAGCGCCTCTAGTGGCTGTCAATGAGACAGCCACTAGAGGATTAGGGGGAAGGCTTAACCTATTCATAAACATAGCAGTTTCTCTGAAACTGCTATGTTTATAAAAAAATGGGTTAACCCTAGCTGGACCTGGCACCCAGACCACTTCATTAAGCTGAAGTGGTCTGGGTGCCTAGAGTGGTCCTTTAAGGTAACAAGAAAAGGAATCTAAATGGGTGAGTATAGATTTTGTAATCACACCAAACGTAGCAATATGTAACAAAAATGTAGCTGTGTGTATATAAATGCTACATTTGTAACGTTTTGTATTAGCTAGGAGGGGAGAGGTATAACATAGCAAATAGTAAAAAAGAGAGCTGGGAGCAAATCCTGCAAGTAATAGGATTCCCTACTCTGTTCTGCTTTCGAGGGCACACCTTAAAAAATGCTAGTCCCCCCTCCTCCTCTAAATAAACTGCCTTGTGGTCTTAATTGAGCAAAATTGTCTCAGACGGTTGAGCAGCTATAGAGGAAAATAAATCCAAGCTAAATAATTAAAGAAAAAATGAAAAATAAAGATGAAAACAAAAGTAAAGCTTAAAAGATTTTATAGATTATGACTGGTAATGTCCGAAAAAATCTTAGTTAATATCGTCCCATATCTCTTAGACCAGCATCATACTCTGTAAACGTCCCGACACAGAGCCATAATGGCGAAACGCGTGTCTGGACGTTTACAAAGTATGATGCTGGTCTAAGAGATATGTGAGTTCTACTATTAGTGGGGGCACTGCTAACAATATTATATGGGTTTCACTATTATTTGTTATCTTTCATTTTAGATATCCAGCTGTATCCCATTTTTCTGTATATTTTTTTTATTTATAAGAGGCTACCACCAGGCAAGTGACCTTGGGAAGCTGTACATACAAAGCTAAGTAGCTTTCTTTCCATATACTGCACTGTGGTGTATATTGGATGTTTTTTTTCGTATTTTAAATACTGATACTGATGACCTATACAAGTACATTTTCTCTATCGATATAACAGTCTGTCTAGTACTACGGTTGCATGTCTGTGAACATCTTCCTAAATTGCTCAGTAAAATTTAATTCTAAAATCGCTCGGAGTGTCTGAAGACCATTTTGGAACTCCAGTCCGGTCGCGGCTAGCCTTAGTTCCTGGCCAACTTGCATCCCAGTTTTCACGGTTCCCTACTAGTTACAAGAGCGCTTTTTGGAGGGAAGGTGCCTCAGACTATGTAGAACATTCAAAAAGAAGTCCTGTTCAGAAGTTTTCAGGATCCTTCTCCTAACACTATGCAAAAACCAACGGTTTTTGCAACGAAATAGAGTATACTAGGTGAGTGGTATCCCAAAGATACAAAATAACTATATATAACTTAGAAAAAGAATGGGGCGGAAGATCCGCTCACAGCTAGTGAGTGGAAATGCCGACCCATAGGAAAATACCTCCTAATGTCAAATGTCACATAAAAAAAAAAAATCTTTATTGAATACGAAAATTATATATCAAAAAAACGTGATAGTGGAGTGCCAACACCCATTAAAAACCTGGGTATACTCTAACTCAAAATAATTGAGTAATTAGTATTAAAGAGGAAATGTAATAAAGTACAATAGTCTTATGAAAAAACAAACAAAAGTAGAAATTCCTCAGTAAACTAAATAAATATTAATTGAATATCACCGCGGTCCACTAGTATACTAGAAAATTATATAAGAAAAGGGATTGCTGTAGTAATAGGGAGAAATGCTAGGAAGTATAGAAAGGGTGTCTGGGCTCAATACCGAGACTTGCCAATAGGGTAGTTAGTAAAGAGAAAAGAAAATAGCCTCAGTGGGACTCAATATGAAATGGGTGTCCACAATAATGAGAGCCAAAATAAAATAAATATGCTCTAACAGGAGAACGGCATAAAGTTAAAATGCCAAAAAAGAAACTTCCCTGCTATAACGTAGTCCTATCAAACTCTATAATAAACTGTCTAGCCCACACACAACCTTCTATCTGCTGCTTCGTGGCAGCCTAGCATAGTCCCTGAGCAGCTAGTAGATGAAAGTAAATCAAATCAAGTAGAGAGAGGATAGCGTGTGAACCCAGGTAAGTATATGAAAAATAAAGTAAAATCACAGCATCGGCTGTTCACAGCTCGACGCGCGTTTCGGCGTGTAAAGTACGCCTTTATCAAGAGCAAACTGACATGTTGAAAGAGAACCGCTTATAAAGGGAAGGGGATACACACTAGGGATCGACCGATATTGATTTTTTAGAGCCGATACCGATATTCTGTGAACTTTCAGGCCGATAGCCGATATAATTTGCCGATATTCTGTACATTTACCATTTTGGAAAATAAAACAAATTTCTAAAGGTAAATGCACAAAATATACATGCCACATGTAGTGGATGCAGTGTGTTTAGACAGGGGAGCTGTGTGTGTTTGTGTAGTGTGTGTAGTGGATGCATTGTGTGTTTGTGTAGTGTGTGTTGAGGATGCAATGTGTGTTTGTGTAGTGGATGCAGTGTATATTTGTCGAGTGTGTGTATTAGTGTAGTGTGTATATAATGAAAGCAGAGTGTTTGTGTAGTGTGTGGGTAGTGTGCATAAAGTGAATGCTGTACTAAATGCAAAGTGTGTGTGTGTATTTGTGTAGTGTGTGTGTATAGTGAATGTAGTGTGTTTATATAATGCAGAGAGTGTGTGTGTATATAATGCAGAGTGTGTGTGTAGTGTGCATTATATAAACACACTACACAAACACACTGCATTATTTACACAAACTATGCAAACACACTGCATTATATACACACACACACACACTGCATTATATACACACTACACAAATACACTACATTATATACAGTGTGTTTGTGTAGTGTGTGTATATAATGCAGTGTGTGTATGTATATAATGCAGTGTTTGTGTGTAGTGTGTGTGTATATAATACAGTGTGTGTGTATATAATGCAGTGCGTTTGTATAGTGTGTGTATTTGTGTGCATTGTATACACACACACTATACAAACACACTATACAAACACACTGCATTATATACACACACACAGCATTATATACAGTGTGTTTGTGTAGTGTGTGTGTATATAATGCAGTGTGTGTTTGTATAGTGTGTGTATATAATGCAGTGTGTTTGTATAGTGTGTGTATATAATGCAGTGTGTGTATTTGTGTGCATTGTATACACACACACACTATACACACACACACTCCATTATATACACAGTGTGTTTGTGTAGTGTATGTGTATATAATGGAGTGTGTGTGAGGGGGCATTTTTTTATTAAATTATTATTATTATTATTTTTTTAGATTTAATTATTTTTTGTTTGTCCCCCCTCCCTGCTTGTTGCCTGGCCAGGGAGGAGGGATATGACAGTCCCTGGTGGTCCAGTGGCATTGGCTGAGCTCTGGGGGGAGCGGGCATCAAGCGCTTACCTCCCAGCAGCTCCTCCAGCTCCCCAGTGGAACTCTCGCGGCCAGCGTGTCGCGCGGAGCGTTGCCATGGTGACCCATGGCAACGCTCTGACGGCCGGGGGTCTCGCGAGAGTTACGCTGGAGGAGCTGCTGGGAGGTGAGTAAGCGCTTGATGCCCGCTCCCCCCAGGACCGCCGGGCTTGTAATGAGCCTGGCGGTCCTAGGAGGTATTATCGGCAATATCGGTATCTGAATTGGCCGATACCGATATTGCCGAAAATACCGACTATCGGCCGATTATATCGGTAAAACCGATAATCGGTAGATCCCTAATACACACCCCTCAGAGAGAGTCCTCCAATCGGGAGCCCTAAACCTAAATGATTGACG